AGCAGGGAGTGAGGGCCAGGACATGCAGACCCAGGCAGGGACTGATAGCCCTGAGCTTCAGTGGTCTCACGGGTGGGGGTCCCAGGAGGGGCTGCTCAGGGCCACCAAAGCCCTTCAGCACCCACAGGACCCTGGCACTTATGCTTATGCTGTGGGCGTACTCTCCAACAGAGCCACTGTGGGGACTTTGGAAATGTCCATCCTGTGGCCATCTCCTCTGCTCAAGGCTTTGTCAGGGGGTTAGGATGCAGGACTGGGTGTGCTCGGTGAGGGCAAGGGGTGGACCCAACCCTGCTACACCAGATGCACCCATGGAGCTGTAAAACCTTCACCAGGTGATCCTGGACCTGCTCCTTCCAGACTCCTTGCAAGAGGAGCTGGGCCACAAGGACTTTGCAGGTTTGGAATAAGCAGACAGGTCATAACCACCTGGACAAAACCAACCCCCGAAACCATCTAAACCCCGATGCGGGCACGAGGGCGTTCAGCCAGGGTTGCTTCCTGCTCCAAAGCCACTCAGCAGCTCCAGGAGCAGCCAGTCCTGCCTCACACCAGGCTTTTCTCCCTCCTTCAACAGAGATTTTGAGCTTGGATTAGGGTGAGATTGTGAGGTGGTCCATGGGGGGAGCCTTCGGTAAGGGAATTGCTCTGCTGGCCGGTCCCTGGGGATGGGAGGTGGGACCAGACATTGCTTCAAGCTCCATCCCAAGCTCCCACCTGAAGGCTGCCACTCCAGCTGTCCGTTTGAGTCAGGATGCTGTTTTACCAGTCTCCCCGCTCCCCCGCTCCCTTTTGTGTATATAATTATTCCCCAGAACTCCCAGACAGGGCTGTATTATGTGCAGGGAAAATGACTATTAACATCTTGGATGGAAGTCGTGCACACTGAAAGTAAAAAGGAGGCAGGAGGCAGGCAGGGCCGGGGAGCTCGCCACGCTGCCTGCCCCCCTGGGGCAGGAAAACAGAAACCAGCCAGGGGCCATACTCATATAGACACCTAAATAAAATCCAGCAGCTATGCAAATGTCCCTATGTGCAAACACCACCCCCCCCCCAAAAAAAAAAAAAAAATCCCATGAGCAGGGCCTTTGCACCCATGGGAGCAGCGGGGTCCCACCCCAGCATGGGAAGCAGCAGCGAGAGGTCCCCTCCAAGCCTTTGGCAGGAGGAAAAGCCTCCTTGCAATCCCTGATGAGAATAAATACCTTAATGATGTTGTAATCAATAGGTGATTAGCCGGGAACGCTTGGGAAAGTTCATGGCGAGAAGGCAGCTTATTATTCTAATAATATCATGTTTTAGGGATCTGCGCGGTGATTTTGAGCTCTTTAGTGGCTGATGATCTAGCAAATGATCCCAAGATCCACGACACGCTCATTTCTAAACATCAGCTCAGGGAAAAGAGGCCCCTGTAACCAGCTTCGGTTTCTGAGCTCCAATTAATCATTTATTCCTTATTAAATATTTACTCACCTTTGCCTTTGCCAGGCAGTGGTTTGGGAGATGTGAGAAGGTCCCTGCTCCAGGAACGTCTGGCTGTGGGGACCTTGGGGTGGCTTTTTGCTCCTCATGGAGAGTGGAATTGGTGTTCAAGGCGACAGTATCAAATGCCTCTGGGATGATTTGATGCTTTTGGGAACAGAGTTGGGGATTTTTGGAGACGAGATGTTTTGTTCTGGGTTGGGGAAACTGTGGCCTCTTGCCAGAGGGCAGCCGAGAGGACACACACATGTTGTCAAAGCAAACACCCTGCTTTGATCTCCCCACCCCAGTTAGATCTCACCACTTTGATCCCAGCATCTTCATCTCCTTTCCCAGCCTCAGGAATACATATTACCAATTGCCAGGAAGCCTTTAATTCCTCTCTCATCCTCCTGCTCCACCCGTTGCCTTTCCAGCACCTTCTCGAGCTTCCAGGAGGTTTAGTTCCTCAACAGAAACCAGCATAGCCAAAGTGTGGAAGCTAGAGCCACCAAGCCCAACTCGCAGCCAGGGACTTCCGTGCTTGATCTGCAGCCAATAATCAAAATTCCTGTTAAAAAAAAAAAAAATCCTCCAGATGTTCAACATGTGCCTTAGTTGTGGAGGTAAACACCCAGTTTGGGGCAACCAAGCTTTTATCTGAAAAGCTGGCTGCCAGCAATGTGGATACAGGACCACCCATGGGATGAGGGGAGTACCCAGCACTCCCAGTTGGGCTGAATGGTGGGAGATGGGTTTTTGGGGTGGACATGAACTGGTTTAGCACATCTTTGTTCGGTGCCCATCTCTGTGGGTTACCCTGTGCCTTACTGCAGTTCATCCTCCAGCTGCCCAAACCTCATCCTTTGAGGAGGAGCTGAGCACCCTTGGCCACCCATTGCCTGCTTTCAGGGCACTCAGGCACAGCAGGATGAGGTCCTTTGGTAACACCAGGCACGAAGCCAAAGGGAATTATTTTTGCTCCCTGCTTTCCCACTGCCAGGTACCTCTGGCTTGACCAGGGATGCTCTGGTGTCACCAGCAAGGTGGCTTCTTTGCAACAAAGTGAAATCCAAAGGGAAAGGATGGAGAGAGGTCCTCTCTCAGTCACCCCATGGCACCTCCAGCAAACACTGGGGACACCCCAACCGCTATCACCTGCTTGCAGGGAGATAGAACCTCCCCAGTTCCCAGGAGACAAGAAACCCAGCAAGCTTTTACCCCGAACTACTCGATCCCAGGCAGTGGGATGGGATCTGGTTCATCCCTCCCTCCCTCCCACTCTCACCCCAGCTCCCTCTGTCAGCAGCTGCAAAAGCTTTGACAACCCGCCTCAGGAAGGAGAAAAGTGGGGAGAACCCCCAGATCCTACTTTAAATTTAAATCCCCAGCGGGTACCAAGTGTCAAGTAGGTATTTAACAGCCCCCCCTCCCCATGCCACCATATCCCATTTAAAATAGAAAGCACTCCTAAAAATAGCCCCGAGTGAGGCACTGCTACTGTGACGCTAATCCCTGGGTGCCACCACGAGAACTGGGATGGGGACAAGGACCGGGCTGGGGATTCACCACCTCCAGGCACCCACCAAGCCCGAATCACAGGGGGTCCCTTTAAGGAGGATAAGGAAGAGGAGGGAGCCAGCTGGAAGCCCAGGGAGCTGCTCTCCTCACCGGGTCTTTGTGGAAACCGAGGTGATCTCATCTCAGCAGAAGGTTTCAGCAGAACCATTTACTGCCTTATTAAAAAATAATAATAGCTGGGTGTTTCCCAAAGACAGCTCTTTTCCTGCCCTTCTTCCCAATTCTTTCTTGTCACGAAGAAAGAAGAGGTCACAGAGACATGTCATCTTTTTTTTTTTTTTTTTCCCTTTTTCCCTCAAGTTTCACCCTTTCTCCCCCAAAGAAAAGAGAGGGAAAAAAAAAATCAGGAAGAAGAGCAATCACCTTTTCTAATGTCAAGACTTCCCTACAGATGCTCCCATCTTGCCCTCAGCACCCTTCAAAGCCAAAGCCTGAAGGACAGATGAGTTGCTGCTCACCCTCCCTGAAGGTCTTGCATGGGCAGGGAGGCAGGGGAAATAAGTCGGAGATGATGGGTGAGGAGCTTAGGTAAAGCCCATTGCCTTCTGCTGTCTGGCATGAGAAGCACTCAGTTCATTATCCCCAGCATTGCCCTGCTGGAGAGACCCAAACTCCCTCCAGAAGACTGGGACGTGATGTAGGTCCAAGGTCCATCCTGCAAGCTTCATGAGGTCCATCCAGGATCAAAACCACCTGTGGGCCCAGCTCATGGGCATGGGGACAGGTCCCCACTCAGCACAACTCAGGAGAAGACTCAGCCCAAGGCTGAGCTTATATCTTGGGCCATGGGCAGGGTGGGGAAGGGTGGGGTCCCAGGTGGGGCTGATCAGGACCATTAAGGTGCAATAGTGTCCATCCCCATGTGCTCAGGTCTGGTGGTGGGAGCACTCGTCTCCTTTCCAACCCACCTCTTTTTTTCCCTGGAAAGATTGGGTTTGATTTCTTTTATCACCAGTGTGTCCAACACACTCCCTGGCAGCAACCCCCATCCTCTCAACCTGCATTTTCCTGGTGACACCAGCTGGTCCCATCTCAGAAAGGGTCTCCTCATTCCCAGGTCTCCCCAGTTGCTCTGCTGTGTGGCTGCACCAGGCAGCAACTGAGTGCATCCAGCCCCACCACCCTCACTCAAACCATATTGGGACCCCCTTGGGATTGTGCCCCCAAGGAGGTGACGCTATTCTGTCCTCTAGAGTTGCTCATCCAGCTTGTTCCCATATCGTCACCCCAGCATTTGGTGGCCCAGGAAATGTTCCTAGCTGCAGCTAGAGCTTGGAGATGCCCCATGGGAACCTGCAGCTGATTTACAACAGGGGGTCCTTGGTGCCCACAGCTGGATCCCCCCAGCAAACAACTAGAGGGCTGGGGGCTCCCAGCCTTGGCATCATCTCCTTGGTACATCAAGAGAGCTGCATGGGCAGGGTGGCTGAACAAGTGAAATTTGTAGCTTGAATTTGGGAATTCTATTAAAATTAGGCCAGCAGAATATAATAGAGCCACTTCAGCTGCTGGCAGCATAATCATCCCCCGGAGTTCCTGGTTTCAGATGCCCAGACATATTAAATGACCGTTAACTCTACCCACACATCCTCATCTACCACAAGGGCTTCGCAAGGGGCCTGCTCTGCTGAGCCATGGTTTGTGGTACATTCCTAGTGACTTATGATGTTCACCCAAACCTCTGCATGCTGGCACCTACCAAACGGTTGCAGAGACCAAGGGCAACCCACCAATGTGGCAGCAGCTTTGGGGCACCCACCCTTGGCCAGCCAACAAGAGGATGGGTTGAGGTGTCTGAGCCCAACGACTCAACTTCCCCCAGCAAAAGTGCTTGAAAAAAATTGAGTTGTGGGATAACAGCAGCATAAAAGCGATGGAGAGATGTGCCATGATTAATTATTCTTGGTGGGTGAGGAGGTCCAACGCCCATTGATGAATGGTGGGACCAATGGAGATATCAGAGCTCTTCAGTGTCATGAGGAGAAGGAAAGGAAATGTGTGGCATGATATTGTCCATTGGTTTGTCTTCCTTCCCCTATTTTGGGAAATCTGTGGCAAATTTCCACCAGGAAAGGATGTATGGAAGGAAAAAAGATGGAGGAAAAAAGACAGTAATGAAAAATAACGAGAAAAAAACCACATATGTGTGTATTATGGGTGCACAAACAGGTATGAGAGGTATCAAGGGGTTCCCCTTAGTCCCCCCCCGTCAGATGGAGAGCATGGTCTGGGGGAGCTGTGGGAGGAAGGAGGGTTTCCCCTCACCCATCCGTCCGTCTGTCTGTCTGCAGGTGGTGAGCCAGATTGACCGGCTGACGTCTGACTTCGACTTCGAGCTGGAGCCGGACGACTGGATGACGGCGACGGGCAGCAGCACCTCCAGCAGCGAGAAGTGTGGAGGTGCCTTCGAGCTAGGACCCCTCGACTTCACCACCTCCGACATCCTCTCTGACAGCTGGGAATTCTGCTCCTTCCTGGACGCGTCCACCCCCTCCGACCCGGGCGACGGTCCCGAGCCCCCTCGCCCGCAGCCCCC